TTCTGCTTTCGCTCAAGTTCATTCACACCCAGACCTGGAGATGGTCTCTGGTAAATGGCTACTGATTCCAACACACTCAAGGAAATGTTAGGTGACTGGCTTCCCCTTGGGACAGAGAGTTGTAAGAAACAGGAAGAGAATATCTTCCTCTTTTTACTGGGCTACTGGATTGAGTAAAAACCCTTCATTTCACTAGTTAATGATGAGAGCTGATGAGAAAAAACTGGAAAGGAAAGTACTTTGTTCTAAACAGATGGAGGAACAATGGCAACCTTTTGTCAAAAGCACCAACCAGTAGGACTCTTTGGTATTCTCTAAAGAAGAAATTGTTTAAGTTCAATAAAAGATTATTTGAGGGCAAATGCTAAGGGAGTTGGAGCTAGATTAAAGAACCATGAACCATTGTAATTGTTCTGATTACTGAAGTCATTAAAGCGCAAAAGATCGCCATCGCCCATACTTTGAAATATAGTGGTTGAAGAGGAGTTCTCTAAGGTCTCTCCAGGGACTACAATTTTCTCAACTCAAAATGTTCACCTAATTTCTGAGTGTGAAACTATGGTTAGCCTTCTCATCAGCTCCATCTGAGGTGACTGACTGAGAAGGCTGTTGTGGGTGACAAAGAACACAGACACCACTCATGCAGACCTGGGGCCAAGTCCTGGCTCTTCCACCCATCAGCTACAGCAAGCTACTTGACCTTTCTATGCAGTTTGCTCAACTCAAAATAGCAGTAACAGCACCAAACCCTCCAAGCTTTTGGGAAGATTAATTCATGGAATTCTGGCCAGGTCTGGTGTTCATATGCACTCACTAAGCAGCTTAGTGATGGTATCATATACCAGCAGATGGTATCATTTACCATCTGGATTAGTTCATTCAGTAGCTGATGTTGGCTCAAAATAACATTCACCAATATATAGGATAAAAATTGGGGGAATCCTTTACAGAACTTACGACCTTTCTATTTAGCAAATATCAATTATCTGTGGGTTGATCATCAATATAATTGGCTTGTTTTAAGGAAATACTGAAGAGTCATCTTAAATGACACCAGCTGGTTCTTCACTTGGAGTCTTCAATGAGAGGGGAAAAGAGAAGGCCTCTATAAGCCAAAATATTCTTGGAGAAAGTATGAAACTCATTTCTAAGCAGAGGTCATACTTTATGATGATGCCATCTCTTCTTGGTATTGACTGGGAAGGAGACAGAGGGAAGGGAGCAGAGGGTCAGAGAGGTTTGAAGAGGCTGGTGAATAACTAATAAGTGGTAGAGCCAGAATTCATATTTAAGTAGGTCTGACTGGCAAAGCCCATGATCTTCGGTGGGCCAGCACTGGGCCTATTTATCTGCAGGTTGTGACATCATCGTTTGAATGACATTCTACTGTGCCTTCTCAGATCAAGGGCAAAAAAACATATTTTCAAATTTGACAGGTGGATTTTGGTTTACATTCTGTATCGGGTTATATGGACAACTGTTCAGTTCCAGTAACAAATGAGATATTTTCTTATTTAATTTTTTCACAGTAATCCTCCTTCTAAAAAACACTTAAAAATACCAAAAGTCAATTTGAACTAAAGTAGTCCTGTAACATTCCTCTAAACTTCAAAAATCCAAGTCATGTGGTACACACACTGATACAAGCACAAACAGAGAATTTTAACTGCTCTGAAATATACCATCAGGTTTATCACTGCCGAAGCTATCATGTTATGCTTGTGACTGCGCAGCATAATTGCTCTTGATATGTTTTCCATAAAAAGTTAGTTTGGTTCTATTTTAAAGAGCTGAAAGATCAGACTCCTAACCTTGACTAGTGTATGTTACTGCACATGAGGAACACAAATTGTGCATGAATCATTACACTGCGGATTATTACCACTACTAGAAAAACATTTTTTTCTCCTGATGATGCACCACTGAGCCAGGTGCCTTACATAATTTCAATTAATTCATTTTTAATTTAATGTAGGAAAGCGTAGTGGTTAAGAACATCAATTATATAGCATCTGACAGCCTGGGTTGACATGGTGGCTCATGTTCTATTACTTCTGAGGTGTATGATCACGGGCCACCGGCCACCTTATTAATCTCTCCAAGCCTCAATTTCTCATCTTAAGGTGATAATGATTATGGTATCTACCTTATAGAATTGTGCTAAGAAGTTAAACTTACATGTAGTGTTTGCATGATGTTTAGCATGTAGTAATTACTCAATAAATATTAAGAATTAGTGTTTTGCTGCCTTTCATTGAATGTCACCACATCCCTGCTTTAAAGATGGAGCACCTAAGGAGTAAAGAAACTACAAAACATGCCCTGGATCTTAAGTCAGATTTGCTGGATTCCAGAGCCCATGCCTCCTTCAACTTACCATGCAGATCTTCATCTAATTAATGGTACCTTTATTGGTTTTTGTGTTGATAATGTGGATGTGGCTGGTAAAAACTTTATAGGCAGGTTAAATAAATACGGGGAGGTGTTTTTCTTTTATTAAAACAATGCCCTTGCTTGCTGATCTGGGTCAACATCTGTGAGTTGCTCCTGTGAGCTGGTCAGGATGGGAAGGAAGAAGGACACTGTGGCCCTCATTTTTGTGACAAAAGACATTTTCTCAGGGCAGCTAAAATGTGCCTTATTTTGATCTGCGGATATGTAAAGGAATTCTTCAATGCTATGTATACTTTGATTTACTTGTATGTCTTGATGCTCGGGGAGGAACATGTGGAGTTGAAAAAGGAGAAGTCAAGGTTTGCGTTCATGTCTCAATTTCTGCACCTTGTCAGTGGCATCTGCATGGGCTGCCCTGGCCTTTATCCTCTCCTACCTCCATCAAGAGCTAAACTTTAAAAGAATGCCAAGGAAGGAGAGATCATTTTTCAGCACTGCTAAGCACAGCTGACACCCCCTTCCCCCCCCCCGCCCCGCCCATCAAATGTAAGTTAGCTAGTCTGGTCCATTGAAGTAGCAAACTCCACGTTACTATATTTTATGGGTTGATTCAAAAATGAAATAATATTACTTGCCTCCATCTTCAGTATGATCCACACTGACTGGGCATTTACTTACGTATGTGCCAGATACAGTACTGGGCACATCTCAGATGTAGTCTCATTTATTATAAAAGTAACTTGCCCAGTGTCATACAGCTAAAAATGTCAAGCTGTGAACTCAGGTTTAACTCTAGAGACAAGACTATTTATTATTTTGAAAGCCTTATATGATAGCCAACTTTTATAAATTTTTATCTTTTGTCATTCATCTGAGCCATAACCCATCAAACATGATACAAGGACTTGTTTTCTTCTGTTAGGTGAAGTCTAGCAAACTTGTAACTGAGCCTTTACCTCCAACCAAGTTAGTCTGAGGGACTTTTCTTTCCCAAAGTCAGGTGGAAAGGCAAGGATTGCTGTTACAAACCTAATCTGATGGGCTTTACTCAAAGTCATAATGGCCGTTGAAACAACTCCATTGACTTTCCAAAGTTAAGATGGTGATGAAAGCAACAGTACCCTGTTTGATCTACTGAGGGCTCAGCTGCCAAGGTGCTAGGTACATGACAGGTAAGTGATAACTGCTGCTGGGCAAGATCTCCAGCAATAAACATTTCGAGACCATGAAGAAAATATCTCTGTGTCAGTGACCTGGCTTTTGCTGGTTGTGTGACATTGATCTTGGACAAGTCACCCCCTCAGACTTATTTTCTTGTCCACAAATACTGGTAACGATACCTGCTGGACATCAGGCACAGGTATGTTAGAAGGAGAAAATAAGGTACGTCCAAGTGCCAGGTGCCACATGAAAATATCAGAATGATAAGATGATTTTGAAAATGGAAACAAGAGTTGGATGTGTCTTGTTAAATTGCTGATGTTCAGTTTTTAGTATCAGGATTTCCATTCTACTTCTTCATATTTTAGAATAGCCAAGGGGGACAGAAAAAGCATAAAGGTAGGCAGAAAGATGTGAGAGCTGCCTAGTGCTTGTCAGCTAAACTAACTTTTCTAGTATGAAATTTGAAATATTGCAAAAATGCTGGTAATAGATCTGCCGTGTGTTAAATACATCTTAGTTTATTATGTGGAAAAAATTACTATGTATTCTTTCTGGCCAACCTCCAAGAAGACTGCTTTTCGAGAGGCAGGGAAAGGGTTTCTGAGAATTTGTGTGAGACACCGTGAATAGTTAGACTTTTTAAGAAAGTTTAAATTTTCAGACCAACCAGTCAACCACTATAATCCAAGGAACCATGGACTGAAGAGCAAAACTATAAAAGCAGAGGTCACATCCTGGGTCCAATGGCTTGAGGTCTCAGTTTCTACAGACCTGCAGGATATGCATCAGTCTCCTTGGCTGTACTCTATGAAAGACTGACTTACTTATGCTGTAAAATACCTGGAATTATTCTCTGCCCACCAGCCAGGCTGCCCAATCAGCCTAGATACTCGGAAACATGTCCTAATCTTATAAAAGCAGAAAAGAGGAGGACAAGAGATGCTACAGAAAGTAGTAGACAGTCATAACCCCAAACACTTGCCAACCCAGCTCACCCTCCTTCAGGAGGGACTCCATGGGCCTAGCTCTGTCCTCTGAAAACACTGCCCTCTGTCAAATGGACGCTGTCTTTTTTTGGGTACCTGATATTTGGGTACAAAGCAGTGTATGCTACACTTGATAATTATAAAAATATTATTTACAGGTGAAGATGATGGATTTTTTTTTAACTGCCGGAGATTAGTCTGTTTACGAGAGGGCTTATAGTCTTTGATTAGCTCCCTCTTGGGCTATGAATCTGTAACATTTTCAGCACAGAGGGGCTTGGTTACAAGTTTACCGGTCTTAAGAATTAACATGAAATCTCACAAGCACATGAATCGCCCTCTGGTTCACTGGCGGGCAGTGCACAGCCAGAACACCGACACCACCGCGGCCTTCGTCTACCTGCCTCTCTCAGCGGGACTGTTTCTGGACCGAGCCGGCCAAGGCTGGATGCTTACTTTTTCATGCCTGTGCTTCTCCTTCTCCTTTTCTCTCTTCTCTCTCTCCCTCTTCTCTCTCTCCCTCTCCTTGTCTTTCTTCTCCTTCTCCTTCTCTTTCTTTTTCTTCTTTTCCTTTTTGTCCTTTTTCCTTTCCTTCTCCTTGGGCTTCTCCTTGTCTTCAAACAGTTTGTCAGGGAGCACTGAGGACAAGGCGGGCAGGGTGGCGGGGACCCTGGCGGCAGCGGTGGGGCTGAACAGGGGCAGCGGCGCGTCCTTCGGGGGCAGCACCAGGGGCGCCGGTGCCACTCGGGGCCTCTCCTCCCGCCCCTTCTCCTTAGCCTTCTCCCGCTCTCTCTTCTCTTTATCCCTTCTGCCTTTGTCTCGGTCTTTCTTCTTATCTTTATGCTTCTCTCTCTCCTTTCTCACCATGCCGTCTTTCAACCTCACTTTTGGATCAACATCCTCAAATTCTTTTATTTTAAACTTATAGGGATCTGGCTCTTCATCTTTAAGAAATTCCCTCCAGGGGTACTTGGTTTCCTTGGTGCTCTCCTTCTCCTTCTCTTTTTCTTTCACTTTGTCTTTTTCTTTACTCTTCTCCTTGCTTTTGTCCCTTTCCCTTTCCTTATCTCTCTGCTTCTCCTTCTTCTTCATTTTGGTCTTCAGTTCCTTTTTCAACTTCTTTTTGACTTCCACGGATGAGGGCAGTTTGGTTTTTTCCTCGTACACCTTGTGCAGAGGTTCGGGGGTGGGAGGAGACACCGAAGGAGAAGAGATGTAGGGAAAGCCGGGAGGCATGGCTGGAGGGGCTCCCATTTTTGCTTTACGCACGACCTCATCAATGGACGCGTCCATTGTCCATGAGTTGTCGGAACTTGAAGTTCCACCCGAAAGAGGCAGAGGAGTGGATCCTGACTTAGTGAAATTGTTGGAGGACGTGGAGGCTTTTGGAGTAGTACATTCTGAACCTGAAATTCTCTTAGGGCTGGTAAAGAGGTCTCCTTCTGATTCCGATCCAGAAGAAAACTCGAAAGGGTCTGGCTCTCGTTCAGCACAAGCCCGTGCAATCACGGCATTGATAGAGTCATCGATCGTCTTATCTGTCACGATGGCCTTCTTCGGCTGATTCTCATTGTTGAGTTTCCCAGCATCTGGAGGGGTCTGTATTTGTTTTACCTGAATGGTCTCTTTATTGAGTTTTTCACTTATCGTAGCTGAAGGAGTCCTATTTGGTGTTTCGGGTCTGACAGGTGCTTGGGGAATATGAGTCATAACCTTGGGACTCTTGGGGCTCTTGGGGCTCTTAGAGCGTCCGGGAGATTTCTTCTCTTTGGATATAGTTTTTGGTGACCGAATAGGACTTCCGACCATTGCTGGTGACTGGGTAGTTTTAGGCGATTTAGTCTTCTGTCCTGGGGAACTACTTTTAGTCTTTGTTTTAGGTGTAAATGACTTTGTTTCTAATGGTTTTGTGATTGGCATTTGTGATTTTGCAACTGGAGCCAACATTGGTGGCTCTGGTGATGGTGGTGCTAGGTCTGTATTGTCCTGTACATGGACTGGAGAAAGCATTGGCGGAATCTTTTGGGTATTTATTGAGCTGAGGGGTTCTCGAGCTTCCAATACTACTACATCCAGCGTGTCCCCTTTAGTGCTTAATAGCCGTGGTCGCTTGATGGCAGGCATTTCTTCAGCTTCGGGACTATCCAACGGTCTCTTACCCAAGAAATTCTCATCATTAATAATTTCCTCCTCTTCCAATTCATCATCCTCCTCCAAGGGAACTTGCATGGCTTCTGCTGACGTACCACCATCAGTGGGCACCTGCTCTTCTTCTTCTTCTGGTAAAGGAAAAGAAAAGAGGTATTAGTGGAATATTTAGAAAACCCTAACAAATAAAAATGATGTTTCAAATATGATTTCTAGGCAAGAAAGGGAATTATTCATAGTGTTTAGAGAGTAGTAAAGTGGTAAATCTTCAAAGATCTTCTAAACTTGCACATCATCGTTCTTTGAAGAGTGGTGACTGGATATCCAGACTGATTATTTTCTTTTCAAGTGATTTGGCCTACTTTCAAGATCTGGAGTTTGCAAAGTATTTCCTGTTTGCTTCCTTAACTGTATTCCTAACCTGACTAAATATGGTCTTTCTCTTCCTTCTTCTTCTTGTGTACAGGTGTGCATACATGTGCATACATGTGCACCGCTGCCCCCCGCCACCACATACATACTTCTAAAGATCAGGAGATGGGTTATTTTATGACTACTATCCTCAGAAATGACAAAAAAAGCATAGTTTTTTTTAAGGACTCTTATAACAAATGTTGATTCTTGGGAGTTTAGAAAATGCAAGCATCCAACCTGGATATGATTCATAAGCTGTTATGTCTTCTGTTTTGTTTGCTTGATGTTGGCCACTTTCAGAGACAGCATGGTGCAATGGCATACATACTGGCTTGGGCATTAGAGAGACAGTGTTTCTGCTAGCATTCTGGCACCACAGAGCAACAGGCCATAGGCAATCTCTTAACTCCTTCAGCCTGTTTCATGACCTTTCAAAAGGGGCTAATGTTACTTGCCCTGCCTACTTGAGTAAGTTGCTTTAAGATCACTTTCTTTCTTTCTACACATATTAACTAAGCATATTACAGTTTAGCACAGGGACACAATGTGGATTGCACATAGAAAGTGGTTTGTACTATAAGACAGATAAAGAGCTACAGCAGTTCAAAGCAGAAACAGATTACTGTGATATTAAAGATCAAAGAAGATTTTTACTTATTAGGTAAGTGCTTTAGATATTTAGAGACTAGGAATGGTGATGTATAGGGAGAGGGAATAGATGCCGAAGAGATGGAGGTGGAACACAGGGAGCCAGGGATTAATTCATCTGGCAAGTAGGGTGCAAGATGGGGAGTAGTACAAAGTAAGCTTACTAAGGTGGCATCCAGATATTAGAAGCTTTGAATTCCAGAAAAAAAACAAAGTGATCTTTGTTCTACTGGTAGTTTGGACCTGGTAAAGATTTTTAGACAAGGAAGAAAAATCACAGGGTATATGTTAGCAAATTATTCTGGCAAGAACATACATGATGAATGGGAGGTAACCTAATAATGGAGAGGTGACAAGTTAGGGGTCACTGAATTGATGTAGGTAAGTTACAACCGGGTCTGAACTAGAATAGTGGTAACAACAGGAAGCAATAGAGGTAGATGACATTTTTGAACACAGAATGAATAGAATCTAATAAATTTTTAGGTCTAAGAATGGAGGAAAGAGTCAAGCACCATCTCAAGGCTCTGAGTCCTGGTGAGTGAGCATGCAGTCATTAAGAGAAATAAGCAGAGAAGGAAGATGACTATTAATCAGCTCAAGCCCTAGACACAGAGTTGGGTGAACAGGTAAGGATGACCAGCACAAGACAAATTTGGACATAAGGACTGTTAGCAGGACTTGAGAATGACACTATCACCCGTTCACAACCCTAAGTCAGAAACATCCTTCCAGACTACTTCTTTGTTTCTCCATTTTCACATTGTGAACACAGTTTTCTACTTTCCTATAGCACATTCTCCCCATCGCTATTACTGTTAGTTTGAATCCTTAGCACCTCTCCTCTGTCTTCTAACTAGTCTCTCTGCCTCCAGTTCCTGTCTTTCATATTGCCTACGCTGATCTTCTGAAACCACAAATCCAAGCCTATCACATCCCCTGTCCTAAGAACGTTTCATAGGTCCCTACAGCACTACTTTGCCAGAGGAGTTCCCTGAAGCCTGAGGGTTCTGTGGAACCCCTTCAGAGCACCACACAGTACAGACTGGGTCCCCTAGTCTCTATCAAATGGAATGGTTACCCCTAAGATGATCTATTTCACATACTGAACTTCTACAAAGGCTTTTGTTTTTTTGTTTCAGCAGGTTGAAAAGCAGTATTCTAAAATGTAAAATGAACCCAATTTCCCCAGCACTACCTATATGGTGCTCCATCATCTGATTCCATAATTAACCTCACCTTGCACTGCATCCCAAACACTCTGTCATTCCAGCCACGCAGACTGACAGTTTCTCTAGGCCTCCCCTCAGCGCCTCTGCACATGCAGCTCTCTCTGCCTGGAAGGCTCTGCCCCCCACACTTTGGTGACTATCTCTTCTTAGCATCCAATCAGGTGTTCCGGCTCCTGTGACACTTTTTCTGAGCAACTAGAAATGATCACCCTCCCGCTTTGGATTCTGCTGTGCTCTGGTTATATAAGCAACAAGCAAGTCTAGGACATTTACCATCTGGTCTTTTACAGAGGAATTTTCAGATTCCTGTCCTGGATCTACACAACTCAGAAAAACTGAATAGCCCTTTCCAGCCCTATCTTTATTTGAATGACAAGATGGACCTCAAATCTGCTCAAACTGCTAATAGGCAAACATGAAAAAATGAGAAAGAAGACAGCGTTACGATATTCTCCAAGTGAACGAATAAAACATTTTAGAGTACTTATTACTGTAATATTTCTAAATTCCAAAGACCCTCCTTCTACCTCACAGGAGTTCATAAATCCCAATGATGCCAAAGCAGGAAGAGGACGGTTTGGCTTAGGCAGGGCCCTTTAGAATATGTTAAAGTATATCTTATTCTTCTAATTCTAGATCTAGATCAGCTCTAGGAGGTGAGTCCCTCAGACAGGGCCTTTGAGGGAAGCCCTCGGACCAACACAAAGAGAGTCAGTTACAGGTTCTCCAGATGAAAGGTCTGGTTTGTTTTTGCTTTTTTAGCTAAAACAATTAGTTAGAGTTCACTATTCAAACTACTAAATAATAATGCTGGTCAATAACAGAGCTATACATTATAAAGTTAACTCTGCAACCCCCTTTTTTTTAAAAAAAAGATTTTATTTATTTATTTGAGAGAGAGAGAGAGAGAGAGAGAGAGAGAGAGGCAGAGACACAGGCAGAGGGAGAAGCAGGCTCCATGCAGTGAGCCCGACATGGGACTCAATCCCAGGTCTCCAGGATCGGGCCCTGGGCCGAAGGGGGCGCCAAACCCCTGAGCCACCCAGGCTGCCCTCTGCAATCCTTTTTGAGAAGATTAGAAACAACAACAACCCAACCCTCTTCACTATAATCTCTCAAAAACCACATAACAGCGTAAATCCAGAGTTAGCATCTGCAGGTCAAGTGGATTATCACCTCCTCTATCTGGCCTAATAACTATCCTCCAATGAAAGCAGTCCAGAGCTGCTAGGGACACTGTTTAAGGATAATAGATATTTTAGTAAGGGAAGCTACTTCTGGACAAGTGTTAATGTTGATGCTGCTAAAGGTATATTAAGGAATTCTTAACAAAGCTGATATTTTCTATTCTACCTGTGTTAAAGTTTGGCTAACATTAATAGGGATAAGACTGTTGATCTGATTATCCTTTGTGTGTGAGAACTTGTTTGAAACTGTGGTATCTGTTGTAATTGATCATTACTACTATCATTCTTCAAAGAATACTATAAATTATAACTCCCACGCTTTTAGGAAAAAAAATATGACAATAAGAAAAGAGACACATTAAGAACCACACTTAAAGCAGTATAGGAACCTTTATTTAAAAAAAAAAAAAAGTCAAGTCTCTGGTAAAGGCTCATGCCCGCTATCTACAACCCTGTTCTTTATATAAATTCACTACAACTTACATACATATATACATATATGCATATATATGCTATACTTCAATCTACAATTATAAATGATATAAATGGTATAGTTCAATCTAAGGAAACCCTGTCATATTAATAAATAAGTAACTTTTCATTCTGCCAGAGTTTTGCACATATATGTGGGATGCTTTCTTGTTTGTCAAAAAAAGGAAATGAGGAGAAATAATGTGAATGACTCAGTGCAGATTTATCACCATGGTGAGAAATACAATTTGAAAGATACTTAACTGGCTAGCAAATTCTGTATCTTATCATAAGATGTGGAAAAAGAATGAGACAGAGATGATCTCTTAGGTGTCTTCTCATTTAGACAATCCATGATTCCAGGTCAATATCTGATCGTAAAATTACATTTTAACCTTTTAATTTGAAATAATTTCAAACTTACAGAAAAGTTGTAAGAACACTACAAAGTCATGAATACTCTTCACCCAGTTTCACCCAATTAACATTTTCCTTCAGTGTGTGACTGCGTACAACTACCAAGTTCCCTTCTACTTGCATATCAGAAATAGGACGGGTCTGTGGTAATGTCCATCTTTTTAAAACTTTCACAGATGTTGATGCGGGTCGGGGAGTCCCTACAAACTCCACTCCAATTTTCCCTCATTAATGACACAAATAATCCACACTCGCTACATTTCCCAGATGAGTGATGAAAAAAACAATGCTTCTTTACCAAGCTTCTCAAACAAAAGACAAAACAAGACAATGAGGCCTGAACACACCAAAAGGCTTTTTAATGGGTTAATTCTAAGCTACTATAAATATTGACTTAGAACAAAATATCTTTTTAAGTAGAATAATAAATGCCTTTAAAGAAACACTATAATCTAAAAAGCTCATGGACATTGGGGGGGGGGAGGAAATTGTTTTCATATGGCACTGAAAGCTTTTTATCTCATTAACTACGCAGATGCATGCAACTTTAAAATTTAGTGGCATGATCTCAAAATAGGCAGAAACTACACTTGCATTTCTAAACTTTACATATACGGACAATAAAATGCTATCTGCATGTATTTCACCAAAAGTTAAATGTATTTAAAATCAGATTTCTTGTGATTTTTCTTAGAAATATACATGCAAAGATTTCTAGCAATTATGGCAGAAACTTAACCTATTCTCTTATTAGTTTACACA